GTTTGCATATGTAGCCACTTTTATCAAAGACACCAAGGGATATTAAGTTTCTTTTCAAATCAGGCACATATCTTACTGAAGTAAGCTCCCTGACCTGATTATCAAACATTTTAACAAAGACACTCCCAATCCCTTTAATGCTACATTCATGGTGATTACCTAGTAGCACTCTTCCTCCTTCAACTTCTTGAAATTTCTTAAACCAATGTTTATTAGAGGTCATATGAAAAGTACATCCAGAGTCTAAGATCCATTCAGAGTTAAAACTCCCTTCAGATACTGTTAAAACCTCAGCAATATCATAATTTTCTGTCACATTTAYATTATGTGATTCTTCATCTCTTTTGTTTTCATTTTTCCGCTTGTTTTTCAACTCAAAACAATTTCTCCTTATATGCCCCTCTTTGTGACAATAGAAACACTTCTTAACCTTCCCTTGAGATTTAGATMTGTTTCTATTACTGCTTTTATTTGGTTTTTTATYTGTTCTGCCCCTAGCMATCAATGCTTCRGAGTCTTTGSCTTTGTTTTTCCTAATTTCCAGATCTCTRGATCTCAAAGCATTTAACACAATGTCTAATGTTAGGCTGTYCCTTCCATATTTTATAGCAGTTTTCACCTCATTGTARGARTCAGGAAGAGAATTAAGCAATATTATGGYCTTGTTTTCATCAKACATTACTTCATCTATATTGCTAAGGTCAAGAACAATCCRGTTGAACTCATCTAAATTCTGTTCAAGGTCTTTGCTAACATCCATCTTGAAACCAAAAAACTTTTCCTTAATATAAAGCTTATTGGTTAATGATTTTGTGAGGTAAAGTGAGTCTAATTTGGTCCAAAGTTCTTTAGCARTCTTGGCTTCATGTACTTGRCGCAAAACATTGTCRGCCAAATACAATATTATAGTACTAAAAGCAATTTCTTTAAATTCTTCAATTTCCAAGGGTGTTAGAGCTTCAGACYARGTAGGATTATCATCTAAAGTTTTAGAAACCTTTTGTTGAACTAACAGARCCCTCATTTTCTTCTTCCATAAKGCAAAATCACCTTTCCCATCAAACCTTTCGACTTCAAACTTTGCAGCCATTTTCAGTTTCAAATAACTTTACCAAATAGACTCAAACAATCGATTCCAGCTCTGATAC